CGGGCCGCAGCCTCTTCTTGAGACGCTGCAGCAGCTGCTTCTTCTCCTGCTGCCGCAGCAGGCGCAGCCGGCGCCGCTCCTCCGCGACGGCGTGCCGCGTCTCCTCGACCTCGGCGACCTCGTGCTCAATGCGGCGGCGCAGCTCTCCGCGGGTCAGCTCCTTGTACGCGGCGGGGTCCGCGGCCTGCCGCAGCACCATCTCGCTCTCGGTGAACATCGCACGCACCGGACGCACCGTGCGCCGCGCCACGGAGTACGCCCTGCAGCAGTCCGCTAGCTGCAGCAGCATGCCGCGCGTCTCGGCGTCGGCCGCCGCGGCGCCCTCGTCGTCGTCCTCATCGCCGCGCCGCTGACGCTGCTCGCGCCGGCGGCTGGCCAGCAGCCCTCCGGCGATGGGGGCGAGGAAGTAGTCCAGCACCCGCTTCTCCACGTAGTTGCCTTGACTCATCGCGTGCAGCGCGACGCGGTCGCCGAGGGCGACGAAGAGCGCGGGGGAGAGGGCCGCGCGGCAGAGCTCGTCAAAGAGGACGTCGCATACGTGCATGGAGAGACCCACGGCGGTGGGCTCCGGCACGACCTGCCCGCTGAAGACGTAGCACGCCTCGTCGAGGGCGCGGCAGAGCGGGGGGTGCGCCAACACTTCCGCGTCGTCGTCTTCGTCGCCGCCGCCGCGTCCTCGCTTCTTTCCGGCAGAGGCGGGGGCTCGTCTTGGTGCCCGGGCGGGGCGGTCAGCCCTGCCGCTGGTCGTCACCGCCTCTCGCTCCGCACTGCCGCCGCCGCCGCCGCTGCGCAGCTGCGCTCGGGTCTCCGCCTCCAGCGACTTCAGCAGGCAGGCCAGCTCGTACATCATCTTGCGCACCAGCGCGAGGAACTTGTCGGCGCGGTAGCGGTCCATTGAGCGCCACTCCCGTACGAGCACCCGCATCAGGCAGCTGAAGAGCAAAATCTTCCCGCTGTTAGTGTGCGGCGCGTGAATGAGGCGGGCGATGCGCTGGGCGCACTCCAGCTGCACCAGCGGCTTGTCGGAGTGCCAGAGGCAGAAGAACACGCCACGGGAGAGCTTCAGCAGCAGCAGTTCCATCTCGCACCAGACCGAGATCCACTCTGCGTATATCTGCCGCAGACTCTTGCGCCCCGCCTCCGCCGCCGCCGTGTCGCTGTGGTTATTATCATTACTGTTAATTTTACTCTCCTCCACGTCCCCGTCACCCGCCGTCGGCTGCAGCCGCTGTTGCTGCTGCACACGCCGAACGGCCGCCTGACGTCGCTGCTCGCGCTTTGCGCTGCCCGCGCGGTCACGGTACGCCTCCAGCTCGCGGAGCACATTGACGACCACTTGCGCCTCTCCGCCCGCGTCGGCGCCGCCCCGCATGGCGATGCAGCGACGCAGCGCGGCTACGTCGGCGCCCGCCTCTAGTCCCACGAGGCGCCGCGTGACGCCTCGAAGGTAGCGCGGCAGTTCAGCCAACACCGCGTCCCGCACGGCCACCTCGCTGTGCGCCAGCCGCTTGCAAAGCGCCTCCACCCGCGTCTTCTCCGCGTCGAAGTCGGTGGTGCGGTCGATGACGACCCCGTCCGCCACCTCCGGGGGCGGGTAGTTGATCGGCAGCTGCGCCTCCCCCTTGCGGAGGTCCTTCTTCTTGACCTTCATCGCGCCGCCCTACCGCCGTGCGTGTGTTTATTCGCGTTGCCGCTGTTTCCGTTTATGTATTTATATAATTAAGTGCACGCACGTTGATCTACTCGCCTTCCTTTGCGTCTGTGTGTGTGTGTGTGTGTGTGTGTGTGTGTGTGTGTGTGTGTGTGTGTGTGTGTGTGTGTGTGTGTGTGTGTGTGTGTGTGTGTGTGTGTGTGTGTGTGTGTGTGTGTGTGTGTGTGTGTGTGTGTGTGTGTGTGTGTGTGTGTGTGTGTGTGTGTGTGTGTGTGTGTGTGT